CGTTTTTTCAGGCCTCATTAATGTGTCTAAATATGGTTGGCTAGATTATTTTTCTTAACTCATAGACAAGCTAGACAAATAATCTCCAAAGATTAATTAATAAATTGATCAGATCTATTAATTAGTGAATCTCATTTTAGACAAATGAATCAAATTAATCAAGTAACTAACTTAATTTTAATTACTAATCATTAACCCATTCCCTTAATTCAAATCATACCTTAGTATAAATTTAGCCACTAAAAGCCATAAGTACACAATTTAAACTGAACAATAAAAGATAATTTTATTAATAAAGGAAGAGTGTACAAGAAAGCTTACAGATCGAGAATGTAATACAAATCAGACAAATCTTCAAATCAACACTCTAATATGTTTAAGAAGAACTCTCAAACTCAATAAAGGTGAAAAAGTGGAATTTTGGGGTGATGGTGAAGGGAATGACCGAGTAGGGTATTTATACCCGAGCAGACCACACAGGCGGGCAGACAGGCGGCCGCCTGTTAGCCCGCCACCGCCAACAAGGGAAGCTTCTGGATCGCCGATACTTCGAGAACAACGACAGGCGGTCACGCAGGCGGTCGCCTGCTAGCCCGCAGGAGCCCTTTTTGTGTAACGCCCCGAAACCCGGCTTAATATTTTATTTAATTTATAAAATTAATTAATTATTGGGCCGGTCAACACGAGGGTTATTTTCTAACTTGCCTTAATTAATGGGGGGTTAATCCTATTTTGTAGAGCTCGCTGTTCTGAACTCGATCGCGCAAACGGATCGTAAATCGGGCTTATTGGGTCCAAGATACGGTTGACGAATCAGATAATTGGAGTTAAACTTATCCAAATGGGTTAAGTAGGGTAAAGTGGACTCTAAATGTATTTAATTATATACGGAGTATTAAACTAGCTTGGGAGTTACAGACACGCACAAAACCTCTCCTTCTTCCCTGCGTCCGTTTCCTTCGCCGTTTTGCTCGTTCCCTCTGCACGCTGCACCGACGACGAGAGGCGACCAGGAATCCGACGCTGCTGATAGGGCTGTCAACGGATAGCCGAAAATCCGATTACCTTCCGGATCCGTATCCGTTTAAAGAGGAAATATCCGCATCCGTTTTAAACGGATATTATCCGTATCCGATTACTAAACGGATACGGATTTGGTAAATGCATATTCGATCCGTTTAAAATCCGATCCGAATATGCATCCGTTTAAATATCCGTTTATCCAAATATCCGATCCGTTATATATAGTTTTTCCTAATTTTTTATGTTTATATTTTGTTTCTCTATTGATATTTCAATGTATAAGACATTTTTATATATTCCCTCCGTCCCATTTGATGCCTGTTTCGGTTTACGATGTTTGACTGAAATTATTTTCAAATCATTTTATATGATAAATGGTATATAGTTTAAAAATAAAAATTACATATTAAAATAGTACTTCAAAAGATCTACAAAACTAGTAGTGACAATAGTACTTTATTTTATCAATTTGCTAACGAAAATTGAGAAAGAAAGTGAATGAAGTTTGACCCTGTGAATAGTGAACAAGCATTATAATTTGGGACGGAGGGAGTATAAAATAAATGTGTAGACACAAAAAATATATGCAGACATATAAAAATATGTGTATATGTGTGTTGTGTACATCTTTTTATCATATGAAGTTATCATAGAATATCATAAATCATGAAAACAAAGAAAATAGTTATCCCATAACAAATTATATTTGATTTAATAGTAGTTTGCCTTTAATCTAATTTAAAATTAAAGTATTGTTTAATTTGATACGGAGTATTAAAAATTAGAAAAGGATACAGATATATCCAATATCCGACCGATATCCTACGGATGCGGATACGGTTTTGATTTTCAGTATCCGTCAAGATTCGTATCCGAATTCGATATCCGAAAAAAATAAACGGATACGGATTTGGTAATGGCACATCCGATCCGATTAATATCCGTTTACACCCCTAGCTGCTGATCGCTGCCGTTTCTCTCTCTCTCTATTCCGGTTCGCGTGCGCCAGGCCGACGAGGAGCAGCGGCGACCAACCCTTCCTCTCTAAGATCCGATTTCTTCAAGTTTTGAGGTGATTCGTGGTTCATATACCTTCAGTTAGCGTTAATTCGTAGATTAGAACTTCCTTAACGTATAATTTGTAATTGATTGTGAATTTGATTGTTAATGGATGAAATTGGTTGTGTTTGAAGAAATTGGGGGTTGAACACCGCCGGAATCCGGTGAGACGCTGGCGGCGGACGTCGGCAGCCTGGCCAGGGCTGCGACAATGGCTTTGGTTGGCTCTGTGGGATCCAATTGGGTCCAATTAGTTCCCATTGGATTCAGTTCGGGTCTAATTGGGTTCAATCGGGTCCGTTTGGGTGCAATTGGGTCTGTTTTGGGGCTGTTTGGGTGGCCAAGGAATACCAAACGGGGCTGTTTGGTCTGCTTCGGGTTTGGGCAGCCGGGGTGGCTACCGGCAGGGTGCCGGGTTGTTCCGGTGACGATGGGGACTGCTTCGGCGGGGGCAGCGGGCCTAAGGATCGATTCTTTGGGCTCAATTCCGTGCAGGTGAGTTGAGTTAATACATTAAACCCAAACAAACTAATACGTACTGCCATTAGCACCTAGAAACCGAGCCTATCCGGCGATACACTAAACAACACTTAACACTTGACTCTAAATTTAATTTAACTAAAACTTGATGAAAATTGTGGATTATGAATAATATATGGGAAATAGGCCACCTAGTATAATTAGGCGGACCTGAATTGGATTGACTGATCCACCAATAGGATATGGTTAGGAAATTGGCCATTGCGGGGCGTCGTCGCACACCCGGTGGTCTTGGGTTAAAAACGTACGTACGGAAGTCCGTGACCTGTCATGGCATCGTAGGGACAGGGGCTTCAACCCGCCCAAAGTGAATCTCCTTTGGGTTTCTGAGCTGGCCCTTTTATAGCATTGCTTGGGGTGCCATGACTCAAAGTAGTTGATGTGGAATAAAATAAGGACATGATGTTCAAATGGAAGGTGTTAATATAAATATTTTTATTTAAGCTATTTTTCTTCGTGATCACATGCTGTTGCTGATTGTATGTTAATGTGGTGCTATTCAGTGAGTTAATGCTGGCTTAGGTATATTTTCACTCAGCGTTTTGCTGAGCGTGTAGTCGTTGTTGTTTGACTGCACGCAGGTAAGAACACAGATTTGGATGGACAACCCAGAGGGCAGTGAAGTGGTGGTGTGGTGTGGATGGCTCTTGTTTACTTTAATAATTAAACTACATAATTTTATTTGATTATATAGATTGTTGGACGTTACTTGGGTTTTCTTATGCTTCCGCAACATTTGGATTTATTTAATTATTCTGATGAGTTTGGGTTTAGTTAAAACTCTACGGACGAATTTTATAATTAATTTAATTGTTATTTTTGAAAAGAAAATTTATGCATGCGAATGGAATATCAACTTAGTGACAACCCGGTTCGCTAACCCGTTGGTTCGGGTTACGCGGGTTGGGGTGTTACATTTTGACCGTCTGCGCGTGTGTTCGCCGCCGGAGCCATCCTCGCCGTTTGCTGATGCTTGGCAGGCGGCCGCCTGCCTGGTCGCCTGTCGACACTCGGCTTCTTATCTCTTGTTTTGCTTCAAATCTGATTCTGAACACCTTTCTCTCTTACTCCAACTTCCTATTCCATTCCAGCAGGAAAATATTACTAATTTCTTGTTGAAATCAAACATATTTTTATTTTTCTTGACCCATTCACATTTACTACTCAAAAATATAGAAATATGACTTTTAGTAAAAAATTATTCTTTAAGAAGTTATAAAAATATGTTAAATGCGAAGGTAAAATTATGTATAAAACGACTTTATCAGCTGGTTAGAAAATACTTCCTTCCCAGCGATGGGATAAACCACCCATCGCTGGTTCCCCCTAAGTTCCTCACTTTGATACATACCTGCAAAAAAAACAACACTTTGGTACCCAAAGTATGTCTATGGGTCCTTGGGGGTTAGTTAACCTTTATTGCCCACACACACACACCCAAAATTCGTTTCCTTACGCCCACACACACACACACGATTAGATGATCGTTTAGGAGTTACCTTGGCCAACCTATGATCTCGTGGTTGGCGGGTTCCAGTCTACCTGAACGGAGTGCCGATATCTCGGTGTGATTTGTGTTGGTTCTGGTAACGGTATGTGGACTTTCTTCTTTTCGTCAAAGTAGAAGAAATAATAAGGTTTCTTTTGTGCATTTTTATGTGGAGATTGTTTATGATTCGAATATCCTTTTCCAAAGGATTTCTTTTCGTTAGCACCAAATATGTTGTGTGTTTCATTATAGGTGAAATGCCTATGTCTGGTAAAACACACGGGAGCTATATATCCTACCCTATTGCAATAATGGCATACTACATTTGGGTTGAACATATGCCTAGGTTGGTAATAGCTAGGGGGTCTAACCATATTCATCCTATTTTGAGAAAACATTAGTTTTTGGGTATTTTGAAGATTCTCTCTTCTAGGTGTTCTAGTATTATTTTGTCTATTTGAAAAATTATTTCTGTGCATAAAATCATTTTGATAATTCTTCCTAAGTTTCCTAGAATGCTCGTGTTCGTAACTAACCTTTTGTCTAGGTTGTCTATTATTATTATTTTTATTTTTCTTAGGTTGAGCTCTAGGTGGTTTACGGTTGTACGTGCTCAACTTTTTCTTTATTTTTAGGTTCATTAATCTTCCCAAAACCTATTCCTTGTTTAGTGTATTGCATGGAATAAAAAACGAGATTAAGATCCTTGTGTGGTTTATTAAATTTCTTCACCGCGTTTTCTAGTTCAGCAACTTGTTCATTCAAAGCTATGCAAGAGTCACAATTTTTCGTAGAGCTCTCAGGTTTGTCGGCGCTTCTTTTACCATAAAATTTATTTTCCTCTTTTAGATTGTCGTTTTCCTTTTGAAGTTTTTCAAGTTCAGTTTCAAGATTAGAAAAACGTTTCTTTAAAACTTTGTTGGTTTTAGAAGCGCTAACAAAGTCGTCATAAAGCTCTTGAAGAGCTTCTTGCATTTCTTCAAAAGAATAAGAATCGGTAAAAGAAATACATACCTCTTGGTTTTCGTCGTTGGATGACTCCTCTTCTTCTTGAGCTATGAGACAAAGGTTTGCTTCCTCGTCTTCCTCTTGCTCGCTTGACTCATCTCAAGAGTTTCCACCCCAAGAGATGTATGCTCTTTGCTTTTTGAAGTGACGAGCATTCCTTCCGCTTCTTGGGCATTTGTTCTTGATGTGCCCGGCTTCACCACATCCATAGCACACAGGGTCATCCTCAACCTTTTCTTTCTTCTTTAGAAGTTTGCAAAACTTCTTCATGACAAGCTTGACTTCATCATCGTTGCTTGAGTCATTCATCGTCGGTTCTTTGAAGGCTTTCAACGCTATGCCTTTCCTTTGGTCATTCAAAGGCGGGTTGAGTATAGTAGATTCATACGTTTTTAAGTTACCTCTTAAACTATCGATGGTGACATTTGATGTGCCGATTGACTCATAGATGGCATCGGCCTTAGATCGCCATTCGGATGTCAAGCTCTGTAAGATCTTTCGCACAAGATCCCTATCAGTGTAGGTCTTCTTTAATGCATGAAGATCGTTGATTATCTTGGAAAAGCGGTCGAACATGTCATCGATCTTTTCGTACTCCTTCATCCTAAACATCTCATAATCTAGGGTGAGAAAGTCGATCTTGGCTTCACGTACTTGGTCCGTTCCTTCGTACATCACCTCAAGCTTATCCCACATCTCCTTGGCGGTTGAGTAGTAGGAGATCTTGCGGTAGTCATCGGGGTTAACCGCGCAGTAGAGCATGTTAATCGCCTTTGCATAGTTCTCTACTTTCTTGATGTCTTCGGCATCAAATTCGTCTTCGGTCTTGGGGATCAACTTATCTCCGACTTTCTTCATCGGCACCTCTTCCCCGTTTTTGATAACCAACCATAATTGGAAGTTTGTGGAACGAATATAGATTCTCATTCGTTCTTTCCAATATGTATAATTGGTTCCATCAAAAAGAGGTGGCCGTGTGGTTGATTGCCCTTCACCTATTCCTGCAGAAAAATTTCTAGAAGAAGAACCCATGATCGCTTTTCTCTCAAACGGTTAAGTTTGGACGCGAGTTAGGCTCTGATACCAATTATTGGAATAAGTGACCAACGCTAGAGGGGGGTGAATAGCGTTTGAACGTAGAAATCGCAGGAATAAAAAATTAAGAACGTGAAAAGTAAAGAGCATAGAAATCGTAAAGGGAGCACACCAAGATTTATACTGGTTCACCATAATGTGTGGCTAATCCAGTCTCCCGAGAGACTCTCTTGAGCTACACTACTTCCGTTAAGCTTACGGGTGCTTAACAAACCGTTACAACCTGAGAACTCGAGTCCCACGAGCCTCAACACACTTGCTCGGAGACACCGCACTCCAAGACTTCAACCCGAAGGAAAAATACCTTTCCTTCGTACAACCAAGGGAAATAAGCTTCCCTTAACGTGTATAAAACACTAAGAGACTCAAGAACAAGACTCATCTTAAGAGTGGATATTGAGTAAAATATATACGCTCAATAACAACTCAAACTTCACACAAATTGGCTCTAAAAAGCTATGGAAAATAATATGATTTGGATGCAATGATAATATGAATATTGTGAAGTGAATTGATGTGTAAAGCAGACCCAAACACCCCTTTTTAGAATCAAGCCCAAGCATTTGATAAGTTGGGTTTGTCATTATCAAAAAGGGGGAAATTGTTGACCCTTGTGTTTTGATAATGACAACTATCTCATGGGCTTGGCACTTTGGATGTTGATCTTCATTATCATGCGTGGATCTCAAGACAAGTGTGAAGATATAGTGTTTTTGTTTTTCGTTTTGGTCTTAGCATTTTTGTCAAAGTGTATGGCACGTTAGTTGTTTTTTCTCTTTGAAAATGTTTTCCAAAAACGCTTTTAATTGTTTTTGAGTCAGTTGCATAATCACTTTTTCAAAACTGTGAAAACTATTCGAATAAATCTTGTTTTATTCGAATAAGTTAGAGTTTTCAGTTCTGACTTATTCAAATAGTTAGCAAATTATTCGAATAAGTCTTGAAGCTCATTTCTTCAATCCTATAGTGACTTAGTCGAATAAGTTTTCACTTAGTCGAATAAGTTTGCGTTTTTCGCTCTGAACTATTCGGATAAATCTGATTTTATTCGAATAAGTCATCAGTTTAAACTGCAGATTTGTCAGTTTTTAAGGAATTTATTCATCCCTATCTTCCATAACTCTTATACAACGGCTCTTTTGCTTGAAGAACATTATATATATCCATTCAAACATATTCTTTTATCAAACCAATCATTTCAATTCATACTTTTGATCCTTCAACAATACTTCCAAGCAATTCTTCAAGAAATCAATATTTGCTTGAGTTTTGGAGAGTACTAGTGTGCCATACTCTATAAATTCTTGTATTCTACAGCAATCCACTCTTAATTTGAAGAGTATTTCCGCTGTGCACTTTGTTTTGGAACGGTGTGTGAATTGTAAAAACTTGAAGTTGTTATAATTCAAGTTTTGGAGAGAAATACTAAGTCTTGTGAAATCAAGACTTCGGTGGAAAGGTTAGAGGCTTGTGAATTCAAGTTCTCGAGTTGTAATCGGATTGTCAAACTCCGTTAAGGTTGACAAAGTTAGTGGAATCTCGGGCATGTTTGCTTCGGGGACTGGATGTAGGCATTAGGCCGAACCAGGATACATCGTGTGTTGCTCCTTCTCTTCATCTTTGTGTTCTTGTGGTTGATATTGTTAGTTCCATGGTGTTGGCTAATCTTTTGGCAAAACAGAATCCCATATTTGTTAGGTATTTTACTAGGTAGAAACCTCTATTTGTTAGGAGAGGTTTATTTTATTTAGACTTCTAGAGTTGCTGCAGTTTTCGAAGTTGACACAGAAGATGCTACAACACGATGCTGCAACACACTGTTTGGGATCAGAGGTCTGAGCACGGGATTTTAAGCTACAATCTGGATTAGAGACCTATTGGGATTGTGATTACATGATAATAACTCCAGCTATACATGCTAAGGAATCCCAACTCTTTAGGCTACTTGTGGATCAAGATTAAGGAAGTAGAGTTCAAGCCAACTTCTACTATCTTATTCCTACTAGGATTGTGTTAAGAGAAGCCTATAAAAATGCAGCAGGTCCCTGGGAATTACTCGGAGCGATTGAGAGGGAAAATACAGAATATACGCTGATGTAGAACGTTCCCGTCGCGTCCCGGAGCTTCCCATGCGTGAAGAAGGTTACGATCTACATGAAGGAGGAGATCTTCAACGCCAAACAGATCGTGACAACCATGAGATGAACCAGAGCTTAAGGAGAGGGGTGCCAACACGTTTGTCCTTGTGATCTCGGTGGAGATGTGATAGCCGAAGCGGATCTGAACAGAGTTCGGGTTAGAAATCCTAGATTAGAAGTTTTGTCATAGCAATTCGGAGAAGGGTGTCTCATCATGTTGTTATGTACCGGTGTAACTTGCATCTAGTGATTTAGTGGAGGGCTATTACATGGACGTGGGCCCCGCAGATTAAGAGAGTTTCTCCGAACTGCGTAAACATATCTGCTGGTTGATTTGTTTGCATAGCTCGTGTTTGGTGATTTCCGCTGCGCCCCCACGAACTTAGAGATATACTCCTGCGAATTTTTTTGTTCTTCCAAAAGTTTTGATTTTTGAAGAACACCTCTATTCACCCCCCCCCTCTAGAGGTGCGTAAGTTGTTCAATAAGGGAAACAAGCTTCCCTTAATGTGTATACAACACTAAGACACTCAAGAACAAGACTCTCCTTAAGAGTGGATATTGAGTAAAATATATACACTCAAGAACAACTCAAACTTCACACAAATTGGCTCTAGAAAGCTATGAAAAATAATATGATTTGGATGCAATGATAATATGAATATTGTGAAGTGAATCACTACAAGAAACTTGACATTTTGTGGCACCAAATTTTGCCACAAAAAATAAAAAATTAGCCACAATACCTATTTGTAGCAATTTTGGAATTTGCCACAAGGTTGCCACAGATACCCCGTTACAAAAGGTATTTGTGGCAAATTTAAATTTGCCACAAAAGACATAATTTTTGTGGCAAATTATGGTTGCCACTAATAAAATTTTGCCACAAAAGCTCGTATTTAATGGCAAAAGCTCGTATTTAGTGGCAAATTTCAGTTGCCACAAATTATATTTTGCCACAAAACCTAATGAAATCATCGTTTAAATTCAACGGTGTTCAATATGAAACACCGTTATCGAGTACAAATCACCGTTTAAAATTAACGATGTTAGTAATTAATTAATACCGTTTGTATTATGATCACTATGAAATATTAACAGTCAAACTAAATTTGCTACAATTCTTCATCATATTACATTCTTTAAATAACAATTTTATTACAGTAAGAACAAAAAATACAAGGACATGTTGTGTAATGCCCAAAGCTCAAGTAAAATAAAAAGCCATGAAATGACAAATTGTCTAAAGTATCAAATACTACATTACAAGGTCCAAAAACGTTTAAAACCACTTATGCTTTCCATGGAGTTCACCATTTTATCTTCATTATTGCAACTTCTTCCTCAAGTGCCCTCTTCTAATTCTCAATATCTTGCTCTAGAGTAGATCCCTGGATTATAAAGTAACCAACCTGTATTCAAAATAAAGTTGCTTGATTAATTCAATAGTGGGACATTAACATCATGTTTGGAATTTTAAACATAAGAAAGAGAAGAGTCACCAAGTAATCTTTCATTTTGAGAACTAGAACAGCTAAGGTCATCTGACATTCCATGAATCATATGTCCCACAATGAAAAAGGCTAGATGACGGTTCAAATTTGGAAAACATAAAGCAGTACAAAAGAATATTGTTTTGTATTAAAACATTACATATACTTAGTGTTTCATTCATTACATAATATACATAAAGAATATCCAAAATAAATCTAATGAGTTCTAGTCTATCTTTTATCTCCCCCACATTTTCTTTCCTTCAATTTTTTTTTTAATTTCTTTTTTTTTCCCCTATTTCAGAATTCCAAATGCCACCTTAAGAATCTCAGTTTCTAGGATTTTATATTAAAAAAAACATTTAGGGGTTGGAACTTGGAAGAATCATAAGGGATTGGGTGGAGACAATTACCTTATAGTATCACGGGCTTCAAAGAAGATAGATAGTATAATCCCGTGGTTGAAATTAAGAATAGTATAAAAATGAAGGTGTGAAATCTGGGTATCTGTAGTGACCAAGCAGCTACCTTGTGTTTGCTTTTGTTTGAAACTTTCTATGGACGTTCGCTTGTGATTGAAGATATTGTACTATTTGCCTCATCACAAAGCTTCATTCGCTGGTCTTCAAATGAAATATTTATTCTACCTGAAGATATATCTCCATCCATATACATATTGAAGTTAGATTCTAGATTCGAGAAATGGGAGATCCTAATCTCACTCGAGGCAGATCGTAACTTGTGCTTGGAGGCTTCAAGCTCGACGTTAATTGAATTTTTGAGCTGCACTGGTACAATATTTTGGATAAGCTCCTTACCCGTGCCAGAGAAAAGATGAAGCTTCATCAATCAATATCCATTATGAGCTTAGGCATACTATCCATGATGAGTAGAATCTGGACCAGCAATACCAAGCAAATATCAAAACTCCAACTAGTACTAGAATGCCCGTGAACTTTTTTGGCTATTATAGTAAGCAAACACTTTCTATAATAACGGTGGTAATGAGTAATGAATGATACAACCAAAGTAACAGTACATATAATACCTGCATGTATAATTGAAGATGCTTCAAGTATTCAATAGCTTCGTCAAGCATTGATGCCTTGTCTCTCTATCATACAAAACTAAAAAATCAAATTAAGAATTAGAAGAAGATAAGTAAGAACACTTGGAGATGGGAAATTTTAATTA